AAAAAAAAAAAAACCCCACAAGCAATGATCTGTTTTTTTATGTCTTATTTAGCCTTTGAGGAACAAAAAAATATATAGAGGGAACAGATTGGGGCCTTGTGAGGGACCAAATCATTATCAAGCTTAGTTAAGCATGTTTCTAGAAGATTTTAAGTCATTATTATCTAGCGTAGTGTATCTTCCTTTTCTCTAGAAGGTTTGCTAATTTGTTAAAGAAACAGAAAGGACTAATATGTAAAGTTAAAGAAATCAAAATCCACTTATTTATTTATGTATATATATAGCTAGAGAGCATTGGAACTATTAATTATAGGGTTTTTCTAACGTATGTTTTTAAGAGTATAATTAATGATTTTTTTTCTATTCATTGATATTAAAAAATTTCAAAAATTAATATTAATTTTACCAATAATACTATATAGATTATTTTTGTTGGACAACTAATTAAATAAAGATCAACTCTTATTTTTTTTCAATATTAATTAATGTAAAAAAAAGTGTATTAAGTCAGATTTAGGGTTCAAGTATTTAGATTAGCAACTAAAAAAAATTAATTTTTTTGAATGCATTAAATTGATGTTGGGGGATGCATCTTAAGATTGCCTAGGAAGAATTATTTTGGAAGTGCATAAAAACTAATTCAAAAACATCATAACGGTAAATATCAAAAAATGTGTTAATTTTTTTTTGATACATCTAATAATGATAAATTATATAAGAGAGAATAGTTTTTTCCTTTTTATAAATCTTTCTATATCTGATTCAATATTCGAACTTGAAATTTTTAATTTAAAATATTAAATTTTTAACTATTGAATCACATATTAAGGATTAAAAATATGCATTAATTATAACCTTAACATCCTACCGAAATGCACATATTAAAAAAACCCATTCATTATAAGAAGGTTGAAATTTGTGTACGGAATGGAAATCAAAATGTAGGTGAGACGCAAAGCAGGACGTCTGGCAGTCCCACAAACCGCCCACTTAACTTGGATTACACTATTTCCTCAATGTTAGCTAAAGCATTAAAGCAACCCCCACTCCCCTCCCTTTAAAATCTATTGAGCCATTTTCCTCTGCAACTGAGGTGTACCAATCGAAACCATGAATCCAGACCACCCCTTATTCCTTATCATGCCTTGTATTTTCAAGTAATGCTCAAACTTAACTTTTCAATTTTCATAGGGTTGAGGGTGTGTCACGTTTAAGAATTAAGCGTGACGGTCCAATCAAGTAGTGATACAGAATCGCCTCAATCATGTCACCGCCATCCATTTTTATGGCATCGTTTCATGATTCTCCATTTTTCACTCTTCTTGAATTGGAGTTCTGGATACAATTCTAATATCCTCAACTTTGAGGACCTAATTGAACTTTTTCCCAAAGATTGAGGAGAAAATATCTACATTTACTAAATAGGTTCACTCGTGGGGATAAAAGAACAAGAAAAGATTACGAACAACGTATTAGTCTTGAGAAAAACTCGATTCCTTTAAATTCAAATTTTAAATTCAAATTTTATAAATAAAAATATGAATACTATAAGAGTTTCTTCTCTTATTAGATTATGTATAATTCAACTTTGTATTAATTAAAGATCTATTATAACTTTCAAATATTGATGGGTTAGTAAAAAAAAAAATTTTTTTTTTTTTACCAAAACTTGATCTTTTATCATAATTAAAGAATCAGAAAAGTGGGATATTATTGGTTAATGTGGTGAATTGAGGAGTCCCTCGTGGAGGTCACTCTTGTAATGTACTTCAGCAAATTTCCATGTAACCGTCCATGAAAAAGACAGATTGAAGTTTATCCAAACTCAATGCAATTAAATACACATATTTTGGTTTTTAATCAATGCTTCCATATATGTATATATACTTTAGTTTTTTCAAAGCTCAAGGATTTGATCATTTTGGTTAGTGAATTTACTCTTCATTCGTTCCAATCAAGAGTTAGTTTATAATGTAGTTGTTAATTTCTTACAAATTTCGTAGTTTTGATATGAACTTATCTTTAAATAAACTATATACCAAAGTAAATTTATTTAATTAGATTGCATAATCATTGTACCCGCAATCTAATTAAGAAGCTTCAACTATGTTATAATTCATTTGATATGGTATCCTTGTAGGCCAAGGCTATACATGTATCATGGGCCATGTAACCAATTTCTAAAGTGGTCTAGTTGGCCATGTTGCTCAATGTAAATCGTACAAATGAGCTTAACTGCCTATAGCCTACAATAGTGAATCACATGGACAATTGATCGATGCATCATTATGTCTCAGACCAAGATGAATCAATATACATGAAAAATTAAAATATGCATAGGCTCCATGATTACCAATATTCTCTTTCATTGCACCCTCAAACATCCCAAAGGTGGCTGTGCTCGGGCAACTTGTTCACACCAATCCAGCAGTTGTATGTGCTATAATTTGTACAATTTAACTTTTCAGGACGTTGAATCTTATTGAAATTTATATACCTATGTCTAACTCGTATATAAACTCAGTAGTGTAAAATACCATTATATTTAGTGAATGTTAAATCAAATACCCTTATACAATATGGACAAGAAGAAACTCATTAAAGTTGGTTCAACTGATAAAGATGGATTCAGATTATACCTTAAAATAGATATAAGTTTGAATCCTTTTATTGTCGTTTAATTACATATAATTTTAATGAACTAATTTTACCATCCTTAAAGATGAAACTTTATTCAAAATTTATAAACAAAATAATTACTTATAAGTACACATAAAATTAATCAAGTTAAAAAAAACCAAATGCCATATGTTATCCAAAAAATGTGAAGAATAAGAGGGTCAACTTCCCTAAGACAACTTCCTCCAAAACAGAGTCTAAACTTGTCCTATATAAAAAAGATAAACAGTCTTTGTAATTATTTACCCAAAAAATTAAAAAAAAATTTAAAAAAAAGGAAAAAAGAAAAAAAAGAGGAGGTTTTGTAATTTGTAAATTGTGAATAGCACATCAATGTCCGGACAAAGACATGTACTATTTCAACTTAGATTAGAAGCATGAAATTTGTAAGAGAATCTAGCACAAGATCCTCTAATTGCAAACTCTTTTTCCTCACGCCACCAATAATCTCACTAATATCGTCATTACATCAGTTTAATAAAAATTTTGTTTCATTCCTCTTTATAAGGTGAGGTTATAATACCTTCCTTGTCTTATTTATATTAATATTTCCATGACACCCTTTTCAACTGAAATGATTCGCTCGCACTCCAAATTAATTAAAGTTAAGTTAATTACGTATATATTTTAATAAAAATGTGTTTTGCAAGGTGGATTGCTGTATATTAATTGTAGTTTGTTTTATAAATTTATTAAAATATTTTTTTAAAAAATATTATTTTATTTTATTTTTTTAATTGTATTTTAATAAATGTATATAACAAACTATGCATTTAATACATAATTTAAATTGTAAAACATGAATATATATCAAATTTTAATGTTTATATATTTTATTTGGATTATACAATAAGAAATAATTTTCAATGGTCCCTTAATCTACTCACTCTATCTATATGTCATGTTAAATCAAATTTAAAATCTCTTTCTTTAACTGAAAATATATTATTATTGAATTAGTTAAATCGTTTATATGTTTTTCTAATTAAATTTAATATAGCCAATGAAAGAGGAACTCCCATTAAGAAATAGAAAATCACTAATTATGTAATTTAGTAATAGAGTTCCTATACTTTTATTTATAAATCAATAATAAATTATTTGTGCTTTTATCGACAAATCTAGGTTTCAATTTCTAGCGCTGCTTACCCAAAAAGCCAATGAAAAAGGGTCAAATTTGAAGAAGGTTGATGAGTAGTCCATTGGAATGGAAAGGATCATTATAAATTGTGAAAATATCTAAAGAGGAAGTCGGTAGATCGCATCAGATTGTTATGATTTTATTCAGATTAGGTTCATGATTCTAGTGGTTCATGTACAGGGACCCATCTAAGAGAATGCTTGCTTGGCCAATAAAACTTTCTAATTAAATGATAAATCCTAGTAGCAAATAAAACATCCAAAATTAATGAGTTATGTAGACTCAAATGAATCTAACTAAGTAACTTTTCTAGTACTCACGGTTTTATTTTTTTTTTTTTTCTTGTACTAACTTCTCGGTATTTGGCAACTATATTGAGTCTCGACTAATTCAGAATCGAGTCGCATCAGATCCCATTTGGGGGAAACTCTCCCAATACTTATTTTTTCATTCATAAAACTCAAACTTGAGATCTTATTTAAGAAGAACCAAGTTTTTTCCATTCAGACCAATAAGTTGTTGGTCTAGTATTCATGTTTGAATTAGAGAAAATTTATAAAAATTTACTTTCTTGATCTTTAGTATTTGTTAGGATTGACTTTTAGACTTTCTAAATATGTCCATTATCTTTTAGTATTATAATTTTGTGTAATTAAGTTCAAAAAGATTTGGAGAAAAGAATAATAATGATCCACCGGCCTAATATACACGCATAAATATGAGCAATTATGGCAAAGGCATACGAACATATAAACTGTAAACATTTTGTTAAGTTTTTTATTTTATTTTATTTTTTTTTTTATATCTGAATGTGTTATATAAAAGAAAATAACTCTTTCTTTTTTTTAAATTCTTTTTTACTTGACTTAAAATTTGAATTAATTTAAAATTTCTAACTTAAAATTTTAAATTCTTAATGATTGAATCACCCTATTGGAGTTACAATATTTTGTTAAGTTAATTATACATAATTATATATTTGTGTGATCGATCGTGACCAACTTGAAGGTAAACATTTTGGACCAATTAATTGATCATATGTTGCGCCCTGCATGCACCGGCCTTACTAGAATGGTTCATTCATTATTCAGAGACATTGGATCATAGTAAGATTAGAAAATGACAGGAGAAGGGTTGAAGTTTGAATAATTATGGTGATTAGGGACAGACCGGCCATTACACCTTTTTATTTGCCAAGTGGAAGGGAGAGAACAGAAAGTGGACATTTTACTTCTATGAAAATAATGGACAAAAGGACAAGTTTTTATTGTTGAAAAGCAAATTAATAAGGGTTTGTTAATTGATTTTCTCCTCTTCTTCTTTTTTTTCTCCTTTTTTATTCCTAGTTGTCGCTGCCTCTTCCCCTCTCATAATCGGATGGTTAAAATAAAAATCTTTTTATCCTTTGTGAGGGTTTTTTCCTTTCTTATAGAGATTTTTCTCTTTTTTTTAGTGTTCTTACATTAATTTTCTTAATACTTTTTATTGAAATTTGCTCTTATTAAAAGAGAATGGCAATTTAAACATGATTTTAATTGGATTTAGATAAGTTATAGAGCTTGCTTCAACTATTGAGAGCATGGTCAGGGATAGTGTCCCTAACTAAATTTTTTTATTTCAATCAATTTATTTTTTGTCTAGATGAATTATGTTAGAACATGACCTAACTAATAAGTCTAAAATTCAGGGGTCACTACAATATTTATGTAGATATTATATTATTTGATTATGCATTTTATGAATATAATATCTCTTGTGTATTATCCCATTTCAATTGGTCTTGTAACCCTTGTAGTTTTTATATATTAATGAAATTTTATTTCTAAAAAAAAGTGTTTATTATTCAAAAAAAAAAAGGAAAAAAATTGTATTATATAATGTATATCAAATTGTATTAATGAACCTCTGTGTCAGATTATATAACTTAAATTATTAAAACTTAGTTTAACAATATTTATCTATAACTATAGTTGTAGATTTTTTTAATCTTTTAATATCT